TGTAAGGTGGAAATTCTGGGATTTGCTTCTTTCCTTCTCTGGGAGGGAATGTTCTACATCTGTAGGCAAAGTAGACTCTTCTTTGGGAAACCAGTGTGGAGCCTGGATTGAACACTACAAGATATGCATCAACTCATTAGAATCCCTTCTCTTGGGTTATACATTTGATCTCAGTCTAAATAAGGGCCAACTGTTTGGAAGACCCAGTGGGCGCAGTTTGGAAGACCAGAACAATGGCAATTTTCTTTCCCGTTTAAGGCAGAGAGCAGAAGAGCTCCTGGCGTGGGGAAGAGCGTGTCTCCTCCCAGGGTCGAAGGCTGTGCTTCTCCACGTGGGACACGGTCGCCTGGTGATGTGCAGGAGGATGCAGGCGGTGTAGGGAGTACACTTTTAATTTTAATGGTCATATTTTCATAGTGTTTACTTTTTTTTTTTCCTTTTTGTCTTTTTTTCGTGACCGGCAGCGGGATCGCAACCCTCGGTGTTGCACCTGCACCGCACTCAACCAGTGAGCAGACCGGTCTCTATATGGGATCCGAACCCTCGGCAGGAGTGCCACCATGCTCCCAAGTGCTGCACTCTACCGAGTGTGCCACCGGGCCGGCCCGCGTAGTGTTTACTTTTATGGTCACCTTCTATATAAGGGAAGTGATGCCTTTCCTTTTTGTTTTGTTTCTACGAATTGGTGTAAAATTAGTGTACTTAAATAAAAATACTTAAGGAAGAAGATTGTGTCTACACTAGTGCCTGGGGCTATGATAAAACCCATGACAGTGGAACCTAAGTTTGGGACTCACAGGTCTAGGGGTAGGGGACCAGAATGATCTTCTAGCAGCCCGTGGTGGCCACCCAGCTGGCCAGCCACCCATCTCTGTCCCCGTCCCAACTCCAGCCCAGCCCCAGGGGAAACCTGGCAAGTGAGTTAGAGCCACTGCCCAGAGCCTCCTGGGAGGGTGAGCTTTCCACAGTCTTTTCACCCATCTCCTCCTTGGGGCTAGAGGCGGTAAATCAAAGAATTGTGAGACTACATTAAAAAACAAAAACAAAAGCCAAACATAAAGCCCCAGAGCTTCATGCTTTGCGAAGAGCCAAGGATCCTACCAAAAACCTGAAAGTCAAAGTCTGGTTTTCTGTGGGCACCTGCAAATGAGGAGGTTCAACTCACGGTCTTGCAGAGTTTTAACTCTTTCTCTTGGGCTTCCCGGAGCTCCTTCTGAGCATCTTCCTTTTTTAACTCTTCTTTCAGCGCTGAGCACTGTGGAGAAAAAGGACGACAAAGAAAGAGGCCAACGCTGGCCACGTGGGGGTGGCCTGGAGGGTTCCAAGCCCCGTGTTGGCTCCTGAGGGCATCTCCTGCTGTTTCAATCCAATCACACATCCAGTTCCCAGAGGCAGGACCATTTGTGTCTGGTGGGCACACAGGATCCTGCTGCAGTTCTAATTCTCCCCTCTCATGAGCTCTGAGGAATAAAGCACCTAAATTCTTTTTCAAAAGCCAGTAATCTAAGCCACAAGAAAAATCTAGTTGTGGTAGTCAGGGTTCAGGAATACACGTTCAGGATGCCCTCAGGGCGGTCAGTGGTGAAGCCTGATGGCTCTCAGTGCTTTATGCAAGTTACTTCTCAGAGACATAAGTGCCCTGGTCCTGGGAACAGAAATGGAACAGCCTTTCTGGAGGGCAATTTGGCAGGAGGCTTAAGAGCATAAAGATATGGCTTCTTTTTGACCCAGAAACCCACTTGAGGAATGTATCCTAAAGGACAGTGACTGCACAGATCAGTGAATCTGAAGGTTCAAGGCTGTTCTGCACATTACTGTTACCAACAGTGCGGTGGGGGGAGAAGGAAACAACTGAATCCAACAACACAAGACTGCTTTTGTTACACTGTGCGCATCCGAGAGAACACTATGTAGCTTTTAAGATGAATAATAAAAGCTTTTATTTATTAATGCAGGAAAACCATAAGTACTCAGTTCTAAAAAATGTGTAGAGTATAAATGCATTGTTACATATTTGTATATATGTATTTCTAGGTAATATATAGAAACAAGAATATACACTAAAATATTAACATCGATTTCTCAGGCTTACATTTCTTTTATTCTCTCTTTAATTTTGCATTTCAGTGTTATTTATTTATTTTTCTAAAATGAACACATATGACATTTGTAACTAAAAAAAAAGGATAGGCATTTCAAAGGTTTTCATAATACCCTGGGTCATGAGGAGCCCATGTGCTAATGGCAGGCACAGGCTAGAGAAGACACAGACCTTGTTCCAAAGTCAATGAGGAAGGGCAGATGGGGACGAAAATAACCCAAATGTACTTCAGGAGGTGGGATAGCAGAAAAGCTGCTGTTTTTCCATATTTTTCCCACCCAGCATCAGCTCTATGACCTGTTTGCCTCTCTAGTGCATGCATACACACACACACACTCACACACACACACACGCACGCATACACAAACACACACACACACACACACCACATAAAAGGGCAATCACAGAAATGTTTAATCCAGGAAGTCAGTCCGCTCAGGAGCAATGAACGCAGAGGCCTGGAGAGGTGTGCTGACCAGGTGCAGAGGCAGAGAGCACAATTAAAATCAGCTTCTCAAGTCTCAGAAAAGGATTTTATCCCCATTTCACTGATAAGGAAATGGAGGCCAGGTAAGTTACAATATAAGCATGCTCTGGGATTGGGCTCTGGTCTGTCTGACCCCAAAGCTCATGCTCTGCCTTTCACCAGCTCTACACTGGGCATGGGAACAAGCACCAGATGTCACTTCTGCTGCCCTGTCCTCGGACTCTCATGACCCATTCCCACCTTGGCACCCGGGCAGATGTGGCTAATGGATAAGGCAGCCACCATAGATCTCAGTGTTTGCCACCCAAGATGAAAATTATTAGGTTTCACCTTGACTCGCTGAAACAGACAAACCATACAGATACCGAGAAATCTTATCCTATAGGATCAGGATTCTAAAGTCAAAGCATCGAAGGTAAAATTTGCAAATAGTCAAAACTCATTTAAAAAGCTCTTAACTTGCTTACCAGGTTCATTTCACGCAGAGGAATTCTTATGCACACTAGAGTCTAAGAAAGGAATGAAAATCTGCGTAACTGTACCTGGACTTTCAAACATTCTGCTTTGAAGGTATCTTGTGCAAACCAGTGGTGACGGGGACAGAGGTGAAGCCCACTATGGTCCTCCTTGCACACAGTGAGATTCTGTTCTGTCTTAACATTAACCTTCCCGTGGAAATACCTGCTAGTAGGTGTGTTTGTTGCTGGGATTAAACACGCTAATTTATAATAGGTGTAGAAAATGTTTGCTGGATTTGAATCCACATCTGGCCTTTTCTGAGCCACGTGAACGCTGTTCTCTGAAAAGCTGCAGAGAACGTGGACCCCTGTTTTAGTCTTTCTAGGTGGGCCTTTCATGTTTTGGCCCACCCGGCAGCTGTCCTATTCCCTCGGGCACTGGTCTCATCTCACTATGGGTGAGATGTCAGGGCCCAAGGTAAACGATGTGAGTGTGCCCTGCCACTCTGCTACAAGACAACGATGCCATCGACACTCACTCTGGAGCCAAGGGCTTCAAGCTGGTGATCCTTTTCTTTGTTGTGACTTTTCAGCTGATTCACCTCCTCTTTTAGTTGTTGAACTTGCTCATTCCTTGCTAACATGTCTTTTTGCAAAGAGGACACCATCCCTGTAAGAAAAAAAAAAAACAGACTCAAAGAGGTCAGCGGGGGCAATAACGATTACTGTCACCATGGCCACTGTCAGCTACCCTAAAGACTATCCTGGCACTGAGGAAGGAGTTGGTCTCCCAGGATCCCAGGAGCTAGAATGGGGCTGAGACCAGTATCCACAGAACATCATCTGTTGAAGGTCTTAGAATAAGGAGGAGTCAGTGAATGTTGCTGGGGACAGAAAAAACCTTGTGGGCACAGGCCCTGCAGAGCCCAGAGGACAAGAAACACCTGGGGAACAAAGGCCTCACAGAGGGAGGGACCAGGAGAGGCTACAGGCATGTGGCAGAAGGGGACATGTTGGAGGCTGTTGATGGGATGCCTGGATTGACACTCATCTGACTTCAGAACCTTTCTCTATCCCTCATTAGCTTGGGAGTCTTGGGTAAGTTATTTGACCTCTCACTGCACCTGCGGAGTTCCTGCTAGGGTGAGATGAGATGATGCGTATGAGGAACCTCGTGGGTGGCTGACACACATGTTTCTCACAGGGTACCTGATTATTTGTGGTTCAGCTTCCACGATGGCCCCGGGTACCCTGCCTCCTAGCACTCATGCTCTTGTGTGGCCCCTGTCCACCCTGCATAGTGCTGATGTGTGTGGCCACCTTGATATTGTGGGAATAGCAGAATGTGACCTCCCAGGCTGGGCCATCAGAGACACTGTGGCTTCCTCTCTGCTCTCTCCTGGGTCACTCAGTCTGGAGAAATCCAACCATCATGTTGTGGACACGCAAGGAGCCCCAGGGAAAGGTCCATGTGGTGGGGAACTGAGGCCTCCAGCCAAAAGCCACATGAGGGGTCCTTCTGGAAGGGGCTCCTCCAGCTCCCACCGAGGCCCCAGATGACACCACAGAAGCCTCACGAGGAACCCTGAGCCGGAACTGAGTCACCCCCAAAGTCCTGAACCACAGAAACTGGGTGAGATAACAAATAGTTGTTGTTTTATTTACTAAATTTTGGGATAACTGTTTTGCAGCAGTAGGTAACAAATCCATTATCACATTATATTGAGGGAAAGCGAGAAGCGTGCATAAGTGCAGTGGTCACGGATGATCTGAAACTGATTTTTTCTTGGAAGAACACTCATCCCATTTTCACTGGCAGGTACCTGTCCAGAAGGTGTGTGCAATGAAGAACAGCATGATCCAGAATTCCATTTTAAAAATGAGCTTTGTCCCGGGACACAGTTAAGTCACTGGGAAATGGATTGATTCCTTCAAGCTTTGTCAGGCAGGACCAGAGCGGCCTTTAGTCTCCAGCTCGTCTGGCCTCACAAAGGAGGCCAGGCCCTTCTGAGTCTCTACCAGATGCCCGTGTGTTGCAGGTTTCTGCATTCTGCATGGTGGGAAAGTGAGCTATTCTCAGGCCTGTGAGCATTTCCAGGTTGCTCCCTCCGCTCCTATCGGGAGGTTCTTTACCTGCCCACCTGCATGTGCCAACCAGTCCCTACTCAGCTGAAGCCCTCTGCAGATCTCGGGGCCTTGCCCTCTCTGTGTGGTCCTCTCCTCCTTGGCACTCCAGCCAGCAAACTCTGGCTGTGCTGGTGTCTCCATCTCCTCCACTCCGGGAGACCCCCGGGCTCTGCCTGGGTTCCCCTCCCGCTGTGCTCTGGAAACTCTGTCCAGGCAGTAAGCTGGGGGCGATTGCAGGGCTCGTTTTTTGCTCCTCCCTCTGGGATCACTGTCACATGTTTCTTGGGGGCCAAAATATAAAAGCCATTGTTTCAGATTTTTTTTCTGGTTTGTTTGTTGTTTTAGTTGGTTCAGGCAGGAGAGTAAATCCAGTCCCCGTGACTACATCTGCCTCTCTCATCAAGGAAGACGAGATCTGTGGTGTGTTTTGACGGTCTCTGTCAGCCTGGGTCCCTGAGTGGCTACAGTGAGCAAAGCCCCCACTGACCTGTGATGGACCCAAGGTGGAAGCAGGCAGTGAGCCTGTCTATGGTGAGCCACTGAGACCTGGGGGACTATTTGTTACTGCAGCATACCCCAGCCTGGCGCTACTCAGACTTGCGTGTGCATAGCAAACACCCAGGGAGCTTGTTAAAATGCAGATTCTGATTGAAGAGGTCTGGGGTGGGGCCTGCAATTCTGTATTTTTCACAAGGACCTAGTTAATGCTGATGCTCCTGGTCTGGGGACTACACTCTGAGTGGTGAGGGTCTATCCCATCCCAAGTGAAAACCAAGTCCAGATCTGTCCGACTCCCTGTTAGAGAAGGTGGTGTCTGAATGAATGAATGAATCCAGGCTAAGAAACAGCTGTGCCTGTTATGGGCGGACCATGACTTGGCCACCCCTCCCAACACCTATGTTCTTTAGTATCAAACTACCTCTGTTGGCCAACTAGCAAAATGTTGTCATGCAGGCTCAAGTGCACCAGGGTGAAGTGGGTAAGACACTGGGCATTAAAAGTGGCGACCCCATTTTGCCCACATTCCAGTTTGCATTTAAGGCAAACTGGCTCGTGGGACTGCCTGAGCCACTCCATGTCCTGTGTTCTCCCTGTGGGGTTGGTGCTCAGCAGGCCTTTTAGCTAAGAGGTAACATCTACTAAATCTTTATTGAGGGCTGACTTTGAGCCAGGCCCTGTGCCAAGAACCAGATGGCAAACACACCTCTCTTGAGGACAAACTAATTCACTGACAGCAGCTGCCTAAAGGGCTGCAGAGAGGAACTCTGTGGATGCTTCCAAGTTCAGTGAGAGAAAGTGCAGTGGTTGATTGGTGATGTCTGCCATGGCCAGGAAAGGGAAGTCTGGGGCAGCTCCCTGGCCCAGCTCCAGAAAGAGCTCACCTGACGTGATGGCGTTGTCCCTCTTTAAGTTCTCGCCCTCATTCTTGAGTGATGTGATCTCTGAGTTCCGCTCAGACAGTGACTGGCACAGCACCTGGCTGTAGCCTTTCTGTAGGGCACTGATCTGTGGGAGGAGGCAGTGCATAGTCAGATGGGGGCCAGCCCATGTCTGCAAGACACGCAGGGACTTCTCCAAAGTTGGACAGGAGATTCTGACTGATCTTTGGTTGAGGTGTTGGGGAGACTAAGCTTTTCAGTTTTAATGAGTGGAAGGGACAGGGAAGGGCCTGTTTCTTCAGTGACCATCATTTCATATATAATCAAAACATGAATCTTATCTTTGTGTCCACAGAGGGGCTCAGGCCCAGCTGCTACTGGGATGCCTGGCTCTTTAATGTGCGTTCCTACGACCTTTGGGCTCTCAGCCATAAATAGGCCAGCCATTGGTTCCAGATCACCCAGCAAAGTTCAAGAGAAGGGAACAGATTATAATATTAACTCCCTCAATGATAATAACAATAGGTTATATCTCACAGAACACTCTAGAGCTTACAAAGCCTGCTCATGGATGCTGCTTCTTCAATAGAACCTCACAGCATCCTGAATGAGGTTCCCATTAACATTCCCATTTTGCAAGTGAGTAAATTGGGACGTAGAGGTGAGGTCGTTTGCTCAGGATTGCACATCTAGTCAAACGTGGAGTTACGATTTAACTGGTTCTAGGAACCAGCGCTTAAAGCTGGAGGCTGTAAAGCACAGCATGAACTTGGGAGAATTCCACCTTCGAATTCTGTCCCTGCCACCGAGGCTGTGTAACCCTAGGAAGGACACCAAAATCTGCCTCATTTTTTCATTCTGTAAGTGTGGTGATGGTAGTCCTGATCTCATAGGATTGTTGAAAGTATTTTAATAAGTCAGTATATGTAAAACTGCTCAGACCATGCCTGGCACACAGCATATATATATTAACTATTATAATCCTCTCACTTGACCACCCATGGTGTGTTTCAGTTTCATCTTCTCTGTCTGTCTTGGGGAAGGTAGATTGGTAATATTTTTGTGTGCATTTGTAAGCCTTGTCTATGCTCATTTAAACACCAGTGTGATTGTTATTAAGAGAAAATACAAGAATCCCTGTTAATTGTCTCATCCTGTCTTAGGCACAGCATAAAAAATGATGGGGTGGGGCATGCTCAGAAAACGTGGGTAGGGCGCATGGTGTGCCTCGCCACCAGATGGCGCTCAGAGTCTTTGTTTCCATTCCTGAAACTCATGACGACTACTCTGCGGTAGAGTTAACAAAAGCATCAAGGTTTCACAATTTATATGTCTCATTCCATTACCGTGATGGTTTAGATTCTATGACATTTGGGGAAGCTATTTTTTCCCTGGGGCATCTGGGACATTGGAGAAGGGGTGTATTTGCTAGGGGCCAGGGACACACAATGTCACAATGTCCCCCACCACTGTACTTTTTCTTAATGTTTCTGCTTTGGAAAGCTTGAGTGAAAAAAATCCTTTCACCTCTTCCTGTTCTCTGTAGGGGAAATGCAAATGTCCCATAAAAGGTACTGGGAATTTAAAAAAATGTTTCTAGTTCTTAGCTTACCGCTTTTGTCTGCATGATACCAGAGGCACAACACAGAGACGAACTTCCAGAAAGAATGGGAAAACATGCCCCCCCCC